GGGACTTGAGTATGATTTCTAGTGCTTTGAATCATACTCAAGTCCTGACTAAGCATTGAGTAGAGTTCTAGAATACGACGCTTAGAATCCTTCGCTTGCTCAGGTTTCAATACAAGCACAGCGTCAAAGAAGTACTTTGCAGCCTTGCATGTCAAATAACTATGAAACTATGTGTAAGAAATCAAACTTTTTTGTAGAATTTAAATCACAGTTTATTATAATATGTTTTTCAAACAAAGTAACGTTTCGGATCACGGCTGATACGCCCGCAACGTTGGTTTCTTTGAAAAAAAACTTAAAGCTATTTACTCCCGAAAAAATAGTTTAATTTTTTTTAACAATCGCGAGAACATAAAAGAACTCAATAGACGTGATTGCAAGCTGAGGAAAATTGTTATTACAATAATATCCTTAAATAATTCAATATTACAAAACACACGCAAAAATGCAGTTGCTGACTTCATAATATTTACATAACTCAGATGGCCTTTGGATTATTTATGTAAATTCTAATATATAATCAATTACACTAACCCAGTTACAGCATAACGTTCATTCTATAGGTATATAAAACGAAAATCAAGATAAAAGACCTTTCCGTCCCGCGTTAAGCCACGATTTAACACTTCGACGACGACTCTGGCATTAGAAGGTGTCAAGGGTCCGCCATTTACATTGTCTTTACTGCGTAAAAGGTCAGAAAATCTGGTAACATCGATAAGTTTACGCATTTTTTGTGTACCTGTCTTGTTTGCCTGCCTAGTTTTTACCCGACTTCAAAAAATTATTTTTTATTTTTATTAGTTATTCCACGAACTTTTAGGATTGGTTTTGTTAATATACAGTTTTAAAATGTTAGCAACGTACCAGGACTGTATTACTAACATCATAAACAACAACTTTTGTTCCATATTTTTTTACAAACCCATTGTCTTTTGTAAGTCAATGTACAAAACATAATAAATTTACCAAAAATAAACTTTAAACTTTTTGTTGTAAATACTACCTGACACTTTTTAGGTCTGCATTTGGTAGTAAGGTAAGTAAAAAAGAAAGGTAAGGCGACGACTCCCACCGCCGCCCTGCACAGCGTTATTACGTTTAGAGCAATCTATTTAAAAATAATATTTAGTGACCCTACTTTTAAAAAGCCTCGATAATCTCGTAGTGACAGGTGCTTTCTTTTGCTACCGCACAAAGGTCCACCATTTAGGCTCAACTCACACTGGCGCAGAGTCGAAGCGTCGTAACGCGTCATGTTTTTCGCCTATAGCATATTCATCTATATTTCCAATTATTAAGGTACAAATTTGTGTTTTGTGTACAAATTTGTGTATCGCCGCGCGTCACTTGGGCGCCGTGAGGCGTCAGACGCCGACCAAACTGTGATCCCGACGTACTAACGCGAGTGTCGTCGCCTCTTCATCTGGCAATGGAGTTGAAAAACAGGATGCGACGCGACGCTTCGACTCTGCGCCAGTGTGAGTTGAGTCTTATATTGTTTTCACTTGCGTAAAAGGTAAGAAAATGTAGTAATATCGATAAGTTCACGCATTTTTGTGTACCTACCTACTTTTATTTTTTAAATGTTAACAACCTAGCAGAACTATAATTATTACCTACTAACATCACAAACAACAGCCTTTGTTTAATGACTTTTTACAATAATAATAAATTTACCAAAAATAAATAATAAACTTCTAAGTTGTTGTTGTTTTGCTATCGCACAAATTTGTTATCATTTTGTAGAGCGATCTATTTCAATATATTTATTTTCGTACGAAAGTCAAATTTCAAAAAGTCATGGAACAAAAGTTGTTACCACAGACCCATTGGCTTACAATTATATGGACGTCGGGTCCGCGCTAAAAAGTGTCCGAACTTATAGGGCGTTAAAATCGTATACAGAGCGTCATTCACGCTTTAGTCTTCGTTTGTTCCACTGACAGCGAAGCAAGCAAAATTAGACAGTACTGCGATGACATTACAATTTAAATTCAACGTTTTAGCTTTTTCATATTCCTTTACGTTTAAATAGGTTGACTTGGGACATTTTTTTCGTGGTTTTTATATTAGATCCGTCGTCCATTTATTTGTAAGTCAATGCACAGACCACATTAATACTAGTAGTTGTTATCTAATGTGTCAATAATATAGTCATGCGAGCTTGATAATATTTTACAAAAATAATCCTATATAAGGGGGGTTTCTGTCATAGTCCACCAAGCTGGTCTATCGAGAGGTATTGTTCCTATACAAACAGGAATGTACGTAACTTAAAAATTCAGGTAATACAAATTTGCCGCTACAGGGATTCAATGTTACCAAAATTTAAATAAATTAAACTTTCTCGCCAGACAGCTGTCAGTCACAGTTGTGCACGCCCCTAATTTCTACTCGTTGTAAATATTGCGTGCGTGACTGCGTGATACTTGGAAATCAAGAAACGGATAGAATTCAAGGCTGCTTTCTGCGTAGACTAAAAATTCGCAATTTAGGAATAAACGAATTCCAGGGTCCTATATACTATTTGACCGCTTGTTTATATTTATTTAGATAGAAAATCTATAGCGTCGACCCTGTCGTGCTAACTGTAGTTTTGGCACGTTCTTTTGATTCCAAAACGCAACTTTTTGAAGGTAAAAAGAAATTACAATGTATTAAAATTTATTATCTTTGGAAGTTTTATTAAGGTTCGCGCTCCGAGTGTATGTAATTCCTGTTTGATTTCCCCTTAGAGGATGGAAAAAAATAAAGATTTCCCTCACTCTGATTTTAAACGCCATGTTGGGTTTCATGTGTTGTGAATTTTTTTTTATAATAAACCTAATTGGGCCTATGTAGTGTTGTAACTTGAAAAAAAACCAAATGTGATTTTTTCACGTTTTTGAAAAAATACAGCGCCCTGGTATTTTTTTCTAAATTTGGGTTTTTTTTTTCAGAAAAAGTAAAATGGAATAACTGAAATAAAATAAGACACTATAAACAATAGTTAGTGTATATAGTATATATAATATAGAATATATTTATAACATGTTTATTAAAATCAATAACCATGATAATTACAACAAAAATTTAGGGTCGTATTTCCAGTGCTTGAAATCATACTCAAGTCCTGATTTGAGCATTGAGTAGAGTTCTGGAATACGACCCTTAATCTTCATTTGTGGTGTTACTAGTATTACTACTGTTACAGGTGTTACCCACACTTGTAGTCATCAAAATTTTCTGTGTCTTCGTTTCCTTCATTCAAATCCCACCCAATAATTTTATATAAGCGGCTTGCTATAATTCTATGTAAATGTTGCTATATAAGGGATATGTGCGATGTGGAAAAAAATATTGATATCGCTCATAGATAGTGTTTTTATCAGTAATCATCAAAGTAGCGATGCAACCGCAATCGATAGATTTTGTTAAAAAAAGGAAAAATGTTAGGATACCCGCATTTTGCCCACATGGCGTCAATTCCACAAAATACCCAATCGAGTTGAAATTCCCCGCAATTTGGAAACTCGCCACAAATTGACAGCACTATGAATGTCGCCCATTTATTTTGAGCAATTTATTAAGAAGCATATTATTAACAAAAGAGGAAATGTAGTACAAAAATACAATTGTTATATTGTCATATTTTTATTTTCACACTTTTAGAAAAAAACTACTCCAGAAAGAAAAAACGGTTTCTTTTCATGTTTTTTTCATTGTTTTTTACACCTCAGAAAAAAAAACGGTTTTTTAACAACACTAGACCTACGTCTCGTTCAGGAGAGAGGCTTAAAGATTCTACGAACGAAAGTAAAGTCATAAAACGCCTACCTATACCTACATAATTTGTTTCATGTAATTCGTATAATTTTTGTGACTTTCACATTCATATGACAAAAACATATTTGACGCATGATTTTTTTCTTTGTAATATCAAGTGACGGGACGAACAAGTCGTGCTCCTGGTGGTAAAATACACGTGGTTATTCATTATCAATAATTACAGGTTTCTTACCATGATATGATTTCTTTTTATTTTCCCGATATTTCGGAACGGGAACCTCCATGGTCACAAATCTCTACCTATCTATCTACCCTCTTTCGTCGACGAGTACCTTCATCTCGATTATTTGGGTCGTTACCATTGTAACTCACATTTTTCCGACAAACCACACTTACTATATCTACGCTCGAAACTAACGTAAACTATTTAGGTTTTATTCTTGGAAGCACTAAGAACCGGATTCCAAATTCGGAAATTTCGAAGATGGATTTAAACTATCTAGGGCGTGGAATCCGGTTTTTAGTGCTTCCAAGAGTAATAACTACACGTCTGTCCATAACAGTTGCAGTTCCACTCAGAACTTTAAGTCGAGAAGATCTGCAGGGCACTGCCACTGTGCCTGTCACCCTGAGATATAAATTGACAAGTGCCGTGCTTGTAATTTCACCAGCACCTTTACCCTTCAAACCCGGAACGCAGTAATGCTCACGGCTTGGCGGCAGAAATATATAAAGTGGCAGTACTTCACTGTACGAATTCTTACACAAGGAGCTGTACTGCTAATGAAAATCACATGTGACTTTATTGTACCACTCAATTGCTGTATTTTCATTATTTAGCTCGTTGACGAGCCCCCTATACACAGACACTCTATCACGCGTGGTCGTGAGCGTACTATATTGCGCGCGGGAAAGCCTGCACGCGCATTCGCGCGCGATTGCCAGTGTGAAGTTTTTTAAGCTAACGGTCTTTCGCGCGCCATTGTTCGTGTTTGTTTTTGTTACAACGGAAGAGCGTCCTTGTAAAAGGTAGCCTTGGAACGCGTGATTGCGCGCGTGGCTGGGGAGGGCGCGCGATCTTTCCCTTTTCCGATTGGCTGTATCGCTCGCGATAGAGCGTCTGTGTAAAGCCCGCTATTATCTCGGTAGGTATATCTGGACGTCTCCCAAGAATACATACTTCTGTGGTTCATAGTTATTGGCGACGATTTAATGTTAACATAACTCACCTGTCGTTGTTAAGAAGCGCCGGTGCAACTTTCTTCCTTAGATTGGCGAGCGCTGCTAACTCCTCGCGCTTCCGCGACGGGGGCGGCGCTCCGCATAGCGTCACCAGCGGCGTTGGCGCAGGCTGTGTGTTGCGCGCCAGCAGCCTATGATGACAAAAAAATATTTTGAACACTATAACCTGTAGTGGATATCTACATTAATAATACTGATTTATTTCTTTACAACGGAACAATATTTAATGTAGCCACATGGTATAGACCATATAGACAAGATCACGTTATAACTATAACTTCCTAATTCCCAGCAAACTGCAATGGAAAAAGCGTTAAACGCTCAGTGTACATTACTATTGTTGTCAGTTAAATATTGATCAAGAACGTCAATGTTTAGGCAATACAAAGGTAGTTATTTTTACTCAATCTACATAGGTACATTAAACAAAAATTTGTACTAACCATATTTTCTCAAACGTGCTCGGAAATGTTTGCATTACTTTCAAAAAACGAACACTGAAAGGTTGTCATTTACGGACTGTGCGACTTCTTCCCGGGCAATATATTTTTTTTTTATTAAGGATATTTTGCAGTTGGCCGCTGATGGCCGTGACCGGAAAAAAGGGCGAGCTGAAAGCTCATAGCCCGTAAAATAAACTTAAAACTAAATAGTGGGCCTGAGGACGCCCAAGTGAGCACGGACCTCGGCTCAGGGCGCTACTGAAGACTTCCGCCAGAAGGGCGTGCTATAGGAGAGAATCTACCAGTGTACGCGCTGAAATGAGGGGCTGTATGACCTCGCCGGCGAGGACGGTAGGCGCGTGAGGAGAGGAACTGATTAGCGATCTGGTTGGCCTTCAAAGTGGCGAGGACTTCCCTTGGCCGACGGGTCCTACGTACGCAGTGAGGGTGTTCCCTGCGGGGTCGTAGTTGGATGCAGCCACCACGAGGGGGTAGGGGTGGTGAGGAGCAGAGTCGAATTATTTCCTCGATGCTTGTTTCATGAATTGGGCTATTGTGGGGAGCCGTAAATCTATGTGGAGGTTAGCGTCGCGCAGGTACCACGGGGCACCCGTCGCGTTGCGCATTAATCTATTTTGGAGAGCCTGCAGGCGGTGTATAAGCGCGGGATTTGCCTGAGCGAATGCGACTCTGGCGTACGTCATGATTGGGCGGAGCTTTCCGGCCAAGGCGCTGCAAAGTAAATATGAAAATCCATTACTTTTAATTTTTTTTAATCTATCTACCATAATGAACTAAGTAAACAGGCAAAAGAAAAACTCATACAGTCAACTGCCCAGTGTTAATTGTTGCGAGAATTAAAAATTTACCTGGCTGTATGGCGCATTAGTGCCTTTGCTTTTTCCAATGGAAAAAACAGTACCAAAAAAAGAAGAAAATGGTAGTAAGACCTAAAGTGATATTGTTTTGTTTCACGTTTTCTATTAAACATCTTCGTCTCTTTATTATTTTATTGTTTCCTCGCATTATTTGAGAACAATTCTATACGTGTCTCGGCGGGAACGGGAATTGCTTGACTCGTATTAATACAAAACCTCGCTGGCGCTCGTCCTTGTAACTCAATACTCATCCAGCAATCCCTTACTTCCCGGCCTTTGTAATAATTTACTAATACTTCTACACACGATTAAGTTGCGAAAACTTGTGTCATTTCGTATGAGTAAAATAATCGCGAAAACCTAAAGTTGCTAACAAATTGACTGCATGTTTTTAGTTAATGCATGAAGTCGTAATCACGCATTCGTCTATAACAACTTCAAATAATATATAAAAGTTGTACCTGTAGGTACTATCTATGTAGATTTAGGTGGTGGAGAGCCTGGAGATTCGCAACACAGGGTTTTCCCTAGGGCATACTCCAGCTCCCTCAAAGAAACCTTTTAATACTAAGTTATTGTACCAAAACTTATGTAATTTACCTTTGTAGAGAGTAATAAACATTTCTTGAGTATTTTTGAAGTTGATTACGACGTCACGCATTAACTGCAAAAATATATTCAACCTGTTAGCAGCCTAAGAACTCAATAGGATTTATTTATTTGAGAAATCATTAATTTCCGATTACAATTTAAATCCGTATCGGGAAAAAAATCTCGTTCAAAAAGTGCTAACAACCCCATAGACAGTACAGTAGGTAGAGAGAATGGCGGCATAAAATTGTTTTCCTTAGGAGAAAACCTATATAGTAACGATGAGCTCCTACATTTTAAATAAATATATATATTTCCGGACACATAATTGGAGCCACTTTGCATTGTCAGTATTAAATGCCCTTAGCTTAAATAATGTGTCATTTTCAAAAGGTATTGTTAAAAATTTGAATTTGCGACAGCGGGAAAAACTCTTTCTTCAATCATAATAATTTTCTTTTTTTATTCCAGCACTTGAAAAATAAAAATGCAAGAAGCCTCGATTTATCGAAAACGCGAAAAATGCATAATTGTACCATTATAAACTGCAAAAGCACCATAACTGTGGGTAAACGGGTAAACTGGGACGTTTCCTTCCACGGGCAAGTGATTTTGTAATCAGAAGATGCATAATTTATTTTAAAAACAATTATTTTGGTTTTGTATGAATTTCGAGAAAACAAATATGCAACTCAGTGTATGCCTCATGTTTGTAATACATTGCGGCTTTTACTTGGTGCGATATATTTGTGATTCTTTGTTAATACGCCATGAACATCGAACGAACGCACTTTTGCATAATGCATTCAGTTTCTGTGGTACGGCCGCTTGTACATTTTTTTGGCCAAATTTTTTTATTTTTTATTATAGCCTAAATATAGCCGCCACAAAGAGGATAGGCAATTTGAGGCGGCGTGCTTAGATTGACTCGGGATTCCTTAAAACGGGCCGATACGGGTATTTTAGTTCGAGATTCGTATAATTTCGCGTTTTAATCTTCGATTAAGGCACAATAGCACTATCCTATTCCACTTTAAACTAGATTTCACAAAATAATTGAAAGTCAAAATAAAAACGACACTTTTCCCTCCAAAAGGTCCAGAGCGAATCTTCTTTTGGCCAAATTTAACATTTAGTGATGTCTACGTTAGGCAACACTGTTATCAATTCTGATCGATTTTGAAAACAAAGGGACGAAAATTATTATGACCTTAGCAATATTATAAAAATATTCTATAACTCTTTTGTTATAACGTTTAGTAACGTTTCTTTTTTTTAAATTTTGTAGTATCTATTAGCAGTAGTATCTGTAATTTCGATAATTTTTGCAGTACGTTGCCTCGAATGTCCGAATATAGTGAACAAATAATTATATAGCAAGTAATACAAAAAAATATATAACACAAGGAATTAACAGTGCGCTGTCTTTAAAAAAACCTGGAAATGGTCATACGTATGAATTCGTTGGTTTCGAGGACGAAGGTGGTCTAGTTTATCCCACCTAAGATGCTATCCAAATATGCAGAGTAGCAGAGTTAGAAATCCGAGAAATCATGATCAATCACAAAAACTTTACACGAGGCCGACATTAAGTAAACCTTAAGTTACTTTAGTAAGATTTTAGATATTTTGTCAGCAGTAACATTTTCAGTTGTCTTGCCATTCACTAATTTAATTAAACACCCGACGGAAAACCATCTAGTAAATTTAATTAAGACAGTTCATATATTGACATGTTTTCATTATTTAAGTCAATCGATGAGATCTTCTATTACAAAAAGACAATTATATAATAAGCTTATATTATTTCAAGGACAATAATTTTAATATTTGAAGTTGATTATAAATTAAAGTTTAAATTATTAAGTAATCAAAATTTTTTTAAAACAACTTTTAATAAAGGACGTAACTATCTTGTTTTGGTATTTTTCTACTGTGTAAATAAATAATATATAATAATAGTAATATTTCACACTCACACATTCCCGGATATTCCCATATAACCTAAAATATTCCCAAATGGAATATTGATCTACTTTACTTAAATGTTTGCATGTTGATAATGACTTATCGATAGATAAGTAAAGAAAGTAGACAAGTACGACACTAAAGAAATCCGCCATTTATTCGTTCAATTTTTGTTTAGGTATGCACGTTCATTCCGTAGTTAGGGCACCTCCTTTCTTTTATTTTTTTTCCATCCTAGTCAAAGTCAAATAATCATTTATTCCATAGATAACATTTTTACACTTGAAAACGTCATTACCATATTATGCTCGCTCATTACCAGCCTGACCTCCGTGCCGTGAGAAACTGAGAAGACCAAGCAAGAAACTCTAGGGATTGCTCTTTTCAAATAAACTTAAATGCTATGGAATACATTTTAAATCATAATTGTGAGGCATCAAGTCTCAATTTGTCTTTACATACATCTTTATCTAACAAATACTCTTCAATTTTGTAATATAACTTTTCAATTAAAATACTTTTAATGTACGTTTTAAACTTAGGAAATGATAATCTTAATATATACTCCGGAATCTTTTTGTAAAAACCTATACAGTTCCCCATAAAATAATCGTTTACCTTTATTAAACGAAATCATGGTACCATGAGTTTGGATTTAGCTCTAAGGGTATAGCGTTAATGTTATGAATATCTTTTTTTAAGAAACTATGTATATTTTTACGCGCATACAAAATATTTGAGTAAATGTACTGTGATACCACAGTCACGATACCAGTCTCCTATAACTTTTCTCTGAGAGACACCCGAGAACCTTAACGGTACACAGAACGAAAATAGTTTTCTTTGAAATGTTTAATAATTGCGAAAACACTAAGAACTTGTTAAAAATATAATTAATAATTTCACATATACTTAGGAGGAAAGCGTATTACAATTGTGACACATAAAATCTCGATAAATACACCAAAAATCCTTATACTTAACCAATAAGTATCAAAAACCAATCAAACAATCTCTGTACAAATAGACAAAAAGACAAACCGTTTCGAGGCCGGTGTCCTTTTCGAGAGGAGAGTGTAGTCGAAGATATTTGAGCACGACGGGTTATTATTGATAGCCGGTGCAGGAGGATAGTACGTCTCATCTTCTTTGTAATTATTGTTTACTAAAGCCGATTTTAAAGGTAAAAGCTCAACAGTGTCGTCTTTTCGGTCGCGTGGCGCCGTCATACCGCGAGCATCATGTGTTCTCGCCGGCTGCTTGCAGCCCACTGAGGCTCTATGCTCTGTGAGATGTGACCCTGAAAATACTGCAACGTAGTGAAGTGCTGGGCTCTGATGTAGTACTTTACATTATTTATTAGTTAGATAGTTATTTCTATTGGGTTGCCTTATAGTGTCTAAAAAATTGTATTTAGTGCCTTTGCTAGCAACTTTTTCACAGGCGCTCGTATATTAAATATGTTAATTAATGTAGTCGAATTTGATACACTAAAATGAGACTTAAATTCTTATAATATTGATCTAACATTTTCTTTATTTACATTTATTGGGTAGTAAATAGATTTCAACAAGTAAGAAGCCAGGTTATTCGTCTTTACAAAACCGCAATAGGTCTATCTAATAAAATGTCATAAAATATATTTTTTTAATATCAAATAAAAAGAACATCCCTCACTTCCCTACGGTGGTGGCAAGTACGGCTAGGGACTGGAGCCCGGGCGCGCATGCGTGTTTACGTTTACACCTGTATCAAAACAGGTATGGATAGTGGTACCTATATCCTTATCGACAAAACTTATGTAAGTATTTTTTATAGTAACAAAATAGTTTCGTGTATTACTGGGATGAATGGAAATATCTTCACTTTATATTTGTTATTTAACCATTAAACTAAACACGTTAACCTAAAGATGGCGCGAAAACTTGGAGGTCATGCATCACTGCCGCCGTTAGTTGAAAGGTTGCTTGTGACAAAAACTCAAACCCGCGAAAATAAAATAGTGAATAAAATAAGAAATTGAATTCAAAAATATCTACTTTTCTCTTGCGGTAACTTCATACCTTATTCACCTAGGAAGAAATATAAACAGTGACAGATCGGCCTTTCTTTACTGATCACGGTAGTATAAATAACTATATATAATATATAAAAAAAAAATCCTCGAAGAACTAAGTTTTTGCATGGCGGGGAATTGCTTTTTGTTATGTATATTCGAGAACTATCGAACTAAACATAGGTATTCGTTTTGAAATACAGTATTAACTTCTTGAGTTTTACCGTCTAATTCATAAGACCATAGGATTCTGTGTAGAACCAACCTAGACAGCACGGTTTAAAAATCCCGCGACGAACCTCCACAAAATCATTCACTCTTCTCGTTGTCAAAACACTAGTCCAACAATATAATTATAATATTATCCCAAACTCAGTGAAGTGATTTTGAAGAAATTTCACCTTTATGCTCACGTCAAAGAAAAATGTGTTATAATTCCAACAAGTAAGACGGACGTGAAAAAAGGATTTCAAATTATAGGTATTCCTTTTTGTGTCTGTGAATCTGTGAATAGACAGGTATATCATTAGTGTACTTATTTACGTATCACTTGTATTTTCCATTAACGAAGAAGAGGAGGAAAATGGTGAAAATTAATCGTATACGTATTACTTTAATTATTTGAAAAAAAAAAATATGGTGCAATTCCATTGACTTGTCAATGTGCAATTCACTCAAATGAGTCATGCAAAAATCAAAACAAAAATATATTTTTACTTTCAAAAACTTCTTAATAAACTATTTGCCAGTTACATATCAAAAATATAGAATAAAATATAATACAATAACTCCGGGATTTGATAGAGAGTCAGTCACTTTTCCAGTAAGTATATCTTAACTCTGGCAATTTTAAAGCATGATTTTAATTATTGTTATATTTTCAGGTTAAATATTCTACAAAATAAATCGTGCCCTCAACATGACAGAGTCCATTATTGGCTTTGATAATGCCACTGTATCTAATCCAGCGACCATGCCATCTGAAATGGTATTGTTACTATTTTTTCAAATAATTAACTAAAATATAGAAGATATAATATTTTAAATATAGAATGTTAATTTAGTACCATATACTGTAGCCATAATTTTTTAATATTACAGTTCCACCCTGAAGCAGTGTCAGCAGTAAATAAATGCCAAACGTCAGAAGCCAGAAGACTTGTTATTTATGATTTGTTTCGAAAGTTGATTAATACTGACATATACCACATTGGTGGGACTTATACAAATGACAACCCAGACCTATGGTTTTACTATTCACTCTCTGCTTGTCCTGGAGGCAATTTTTTGCTAAGCTTATTTACATGTCACAGATCTTCTGGGGTATTTTCCATTGGAATTAGTGAAGGTAGTGAATTCACACAAAAGAGGGACTGTCCTCAATCACTATATTCGTCAGAGACACTCAGTTGGCAAACATACTTAAGTGGACAAGCAAATGAAAATCACTACATCAAAACTTTCAAATTCAATAAAAGCAAAATGGAGACTTGGGAAAATAAGTTTCTTTGTATACCTATCAAGATAGAAACTAACTGCCAGCAAATATTGAACAACAATATTGTTAAACAGATAAAAGTGGCGCACGACTTTGGCGACGTTCTTACTAAGGAGGAAAATACAGATTTCATACTAGTATCTATTACTAAAAGACAGTTTCCTGTCCATCAAGCCATACTAGCAGTACATAGCCCGGTATTAAGAGACCTGATAAAGAGTTCATCATCTAAAACTGCTTTAATTGACCTTAATGACCATGACATGGAGCTCTTACTTCAATTTATTTATACAGGGACCATAAAAGAAGTACATCAAGTTGATTGCTTAAATCTACTAGAAATTGCTGACAAGTTTCAACTCAAAAATCTAGTTCTATTAACACAACATGTTATTAAAGAGCAGATTGATTTAAAAAATGCCGTAGAAGTTGCTGTATAGCTGAAAAGTATTCACTCGAAATGTTACAAGCCAGTGTTTTTTAATATATCAAAATTCATCCAGAAATTCTTGATTGAAATGAAGCCTGGAAAAATCTGAACAATAACAAATTAACAAAAAAGTTTTTTTCATTCATGGAAAAAGAAAAGAGATTTCACAAGGTACATCAAGTTCATCATAATACTTTTACGTTCACAATAAAAACTGGATTATTTAGAAGCAATTATTATTATGTATATAACTGTATTTATACTTATTTTGACATTTTTATATAGAGTAACTTTTACTTTTTAAGCCACAGAGTGTAGTCCCTGTAATTTACTTTTAAGTTATATCTAAAGTACTACTGTGGCATGTTTTATTGTAACGGGCTAGTATAGTCAAGAACACATCAAGCTTGACACTTAAGATTTATATTCAACTCTATGCCGCTAACAATAAGAATGGTCCAAAGTACAGTGTCAAGGTTGACATGCTCTTGACTGTACTTAATTAATTTATATTTGGATGGTGTTTTGCATTTATAAAAAATATTTATTTATTGATATTTTTATACGTTAAATAAATAGGTACCTAGATAACTAGGTATGTACACTAAGTGTAGTGGTTGTCGCTTATTTTTATTACTGTTATTTAACATAACCCTTGTTAAATTAAATAAAATATATGCTTTGTATTGTATGTGTCTATTTTATGTCAAAGCCTAATTAACAATTTATTTTATATTAATCGGCGAATAAATTGAGGTTTACTTGGTTGCTCGTTTTTGATAAAAATGTTATTTATCTGACTCCCTCATAGGGCGCGTTCCCATTATGTCTTGACAACAGATAGTCGTGCAGTTTAGTGTCATGGCTTGTATATTTAAATGAAGTTGTTCACACTTAAAACATTTTTGAGCATAATTAACTGTCGTTCACAACTTTCTTGACGTTACAACGACAGACTGTCATGACAATTGGAAGAACTAGAACGACACTGTTGACCGACGATAAATAAAACGTCACGATAAAAATGTGGCGACAGATAATCGCAACTTCAAACGATTCTGTCGTGCGAACGACATGTAACAAGGTACTCTTTGCAAACGACAAGACGGCTGCCGTGAACCGATAAATTGTCACGATCTAATGGGAACAGCCAGAGACGACAATTGTTCAACTATAAAATAAACGTCCATGACACGACAGTTAGTCGTGACATGGGAACAGACTAAACGCGACAGTTGTCCAACGATAAATAAAACGATACGACATAATGGGAACGCGCCCTCGTGGTCACGAAGGTAAGCAATAATATTTTTAACGATGATGTCTTTTTGTAGGTATTAAAATAAAAGAATTTAACAATAGAAAGATGATCGACCAAATTACGTAAATATCAAAGGGCCTTTGCTCAGCATTTAAGCCCAAACTGCTTAAAATTAATTGATGATTAATGAATATACTATAGGCGAAAAACATGACGCGTCGCGACGCTTCGACTCTGCGCCAGTGTGAGTTGGGTCTTAGATTCATTCCAAATTAATTTTAGGGTCGTATTTCAGAACTCTAGCACTAGAAATCATACCCAAGTCCTTGCCATTAGGGTCGTATTTCCAGTGCTTGAAATCATACTCAAGTCCTTGCCATTAGGGTCGTATTTCCAGTGCTTGAAATCATACTCGAGTCCTAACTTGAGCATTTTGTAGACTTCTGAAATATGACCTTGAGTCTCGTAGGACGCATTGCAGGATTGCTTACACGCTGCGACTACATTCATAAACCTGCATTACGCGGCGGACTGCAATGCAGGATAATGTGATGCCCCCTTTTAATTCATACCACACAACAAAAAATAATCAAACGAAGCTTTTCTTCATATGGCAATTATTGTGACCATAGACAAAAGACACACCCATTAGCCACAGAAAAGAAATTTGTGCAAGTAGCTCCTTCCCGTCAAGCGTGGCTAATCAAGGCACGAAACGGTGAGCTTTCCCATCATTTCATCATAATTTCTTTTGTAAATTCCTTAAAAATCCAATAATAACTTCACTAAATTTACTTACCGATGTTCTAATTACCATAAAAACATCAGAAAGTAACAAAAAAATAGGTGAAAACACGAGAATGTTGTGCGAATTGTAAAACTGGTGGAAAGCGTTGGGTTTTTAATGTCCGAAGCCATATAATCATTAAATTGTAGTTAAAATTGTTTGATCTTTTAGGAAAATGAGCAGCTCGGAGGAGGTATCATGGATTTCGTGGTTTTGTGGCTTGCGGGGGAACGAATTTTTCTGCGAGGTAACCAATTTCTTTTTTGTTTAAATTTTGACTAGTAGTGGCCGGATAATGATCGTAAACTTTTTTACAGGTTGACGAGGATTATATAAATGACAAATTCAACCTAACCGGGCTGAACGAACAAGTTCCCCACTACAGACAAGCATTGGACATGATATTGGACCTAGAACCAGGTGAGTTAAAGTGGTTCTGTCTAAATGGAGTATGAGGGGTGTTCAATATATTCTCGGTATAAGCATGAAGGAAAAGGCAGAAAATTTTGAATAAAATCAAAAAAAAAAAATAAGAATGAAAAATAGTTCACCATAAATTCAATAAACTTCTTTGATCGTGAAATTAACTTTTCCATACCCTCTTAAAAATTTTTTTCTTTGTCCGAAAATTGTGCATTAATAGCCGCTTTCCGCTTTTAATAGTCAGAAAAACACTTTCCACCAAGACCTTTTTTAAGATTGGGGAACAGAAAGTAATCACCAGGTCTGGGCTATAGGGTGGATGATTCATTCAAAGCCACAGTCGCGCACAGCAGCCTTGGCAATACACCCTATGTGAACCGGCACATTGTTGCGTGGAAGAAACACACCTGATGTCGTTCCTCTTTAATAGCTTTCTTCAGATTATGCACAATTTTTGTGTGGACTCAATGAGCAAAATTACCTTTGTAATTAAAGATAAAATTGATGTAAAACGTTTCTTAGAACGTCATTGAGCAATGATGCAATTAAGAAATTCATATCGAAATTAATTTTACAAGGCACAGGTTAACCTTTAAAGGTTAAAAATTTATTTAATACTTTTCTTCACACTTACCAAATGGTTGGTTACGGGGTCAGGTATCTTCGGACATGACTGTGTACTACATTGTACATGTGTAATTAGCCTAACTGTAGGCTAATTACACACGCCTCTCTACTAATGTACACTTGTAGTTGATAACGCCTCATTGGCTGCGTTTTTATCCCTGGTGCTGCGATATGACAACGTAACTTGCAGCGGCGCCGCAGCAGCAATAAACGCCGTCGCCGCGGCGGCGCCATGTGTAATCAGCCTTATAGCTAGCACATAGTGACTTGATGTCTAAAATATATTATCTGAATATAGAATATACTTATGATTATGTTGGAAATAACACATAACTTTAAACAAACATCATTATACCGCACAATTAATTTATTGCTTTGTTTTGTTCATAACAGATGATGATTTGGACGACAATCCGAACCAATCAGATCTTGTGGAGCAAGCCTCCGAAATACTATATGGACTGATCCACGCACGTTATATCTTAACTAACCGGTGAGGTTGTTTATCTTTAATGTAGTTTCTTCTTTACAGTATAAAATATCTCTGGAAACATAAAGACATTTTTTATAATTTTAATGTACAAATTTTGTGGTTAATTGAATGCCAGAAATTAGTTTGAAATTTGTATTAAAAAAATTTTTTTCTCAAAAATGTTGTAGTGTACAATTTCTATGATCTTATTTGGAACATTGTATCTTTTGCAGAGGCATTGGTCAAATGTTAGAGAAATTCCAAGCAGGTGATTTTGGGCACTGTCCGCGTGTTTACTGTGAATGTCAACCTATGCTTCCTCTAGGTAAGATAATAAAGGCAAATACACACTATCCTTCCTTCTTATTTTGATGGCATACACTATAATGCCTACCATTGTGGTGAAAGCATTTGCCAATCGGCGTAAGGAACTAGGGATCTACTCCCATTCTCTGTACGACAACCATCCGAAACAATTACAGTCAGTTAAGTAATATCACACCCCGGGCACTCCATACAATGGTTCAAAGTTATTTGTCTACTTCTGCCACATACAGCAAGGCGCTATCTGCACACGCGCAAATGTATGCGTGCAGTGGCGGGGTTACCTATCTCGTACTATTAAGTTACGTGGTCAGAGCGGCAACACAGCAAAAATTGTAACGCGAATCTGTTGTATATAATTCTATTAATAGAATTCTAATAATTACACATGTTCATTAGGTATTTATATCGATATAATATTATATTTTTCATTAATTCACTAACTAGAATAATATTAAATTTTTTTTTACTTCATTTCACATTCCGGAAAACGAAGAAACTTCTCTCTTTATCCCGTTTAGATTATGATAAACAGCCGTACACAACAGGATTCACGACATTATAAATAATAACGTACAATGATGTTATATATTAATGTACAAATTTCGTAATAAATAAATGAAACGTATATTCAAATATTAAAGCTGTCTTAGCGCAAAAACTGCTCGCCAACAGCCTTGTTATCGTTCAGTAAATGTGACCGTCAATATGCGGGGCGTTTATCGTTACTTTTTTGTTCTCTGGTAATACTAACTAATATAACTTTACAGCGAAAGATAAGGCACTTATATACTAGTTATCAATGGCTAGCATCGTTAAATTAAAGACGATTTATAGTTGACTGTAATATATTAGCAATAGATAGCTGGTTTACAGGAGCAGTGCCATTAATCGATAAACAGTGGTGGTTTCTTATGGAAGTACAAATCGAAAATGAACATTCTTTTTTACCTTTGTTGGTTCGTACGAGTTCATTAAATATGTAGTAGGGATGAAATAACACATGTGTGGTGTTAGTTGATTGGTTCGAAATAGAACCGCCTGGCTACGTAATGTGCCATTGACGAGCGTTTAGTTACGGTTTCGAAAATTACATTAAATTAAATTACAGTGGCAGCTATATGGCTACAACCATTAATTCGATCTCTATTAAAAACTAACAGTTACAATACGGTACGATGCCAATACCCACGAAAATAGGGAGACAACACAGTATCCACGAGGATTCGCATTACCCAGGCTGTGGGTTAGCTTTTTGTAAAGAGCTCTCAACATCGAGAAATTCTGAATTAAAAACAATTATTTTTTTGTTTTTTTTTACCTGTAATTTCCAGAAATTAAATACTATGTAACGTGAAACGGAACTTAATGGATTTTTATGTAATTTTTTTTTGCTATTTGCTAGTAGCCAAAGCCATAAAAAATATATTGACAGATTACAGATGTCAATGTCAAAATTGTTACAAACAAATTTTTCAGGATTCGCTCTGGACCTTTTGGAGGGAAAAGTGTCGTTTTTATTTTGACTTTCAATTATTTTGTGAAATCTAGTTTAAAATGGAATAGGATAGTGTTATTGTGCCTTAATCGAAGATTAAAACCCGAAATTATACGAATCTCAAACTAGAATACCCGTATCGGCCCGTTTTAAGGAATCCCGAATCAATCCAAACACGCCGCCTCAAATTGCCTATCCTCTCTGTGGCGGCCATATTTACAGAAACATAATTTACAAAGTGAAACCAAAATGAAGGATAGGCTGTATGGCATTATGCCAAAGCCGTTAAAACTGTACTTAAAAAGAAAACAAATTTTTCAACCGATTGCAATCAAGGTAAACTATAGACGATGATCACCATAATTTTTATATTAATCTTATAAACGGACATTGGCCTAGACCTAGTGGCCGCCATAAAGGAAATAATAATAATTTTTTGAGTATTTTAGCGTTTAAGTGTTGCTAATTTTTGGACTTGTTTTAGTATGGCTGTGTCGCTGATAATTATTTAAACATGTCTAGTGTCAACCACACTTTTAAATCAATAAAAAAAATGCAAGTCACAATATTTTTTAAACTCTTCATTATAAGTATATATCTAACAAAAAAGATGAGCCTGGCAAGATTTTTTGGGAATAAAGTACTAAACTTCGTACTAATTCGATACAAGTCGTTTGATTATTTGTTTAAATACCTCTCTCCGTGGTTGTGAACAGGCCTTACGCATTCGATCCGAATGTAACTACGCAACTACGAGCACACTCCGGCACGGTAAATGCGCAGTCTATGACGCGATCGGTCTCACGTAATACGACGCGCGTGTAAGTCGCACATAATCGCAGCTTGTATGACAAACAAGTATTTTTATAGTTTCCATGTAACGTGAATAACTCGAGACAAACCTTGCGAAAATTACACATCGAAATTTCACAATTATACATTATTATAAATTTATGTATTTTACATTTTTTTTCCTCAGGTTTTTTGTAATATCAAATGATGAGACGAACAAGTCGTGTGTCTGGTGGTAAGTTCACGCCTGTCTATAACAGTTGCAATGCTACTCGTGAGCTATCGCAAAGATACACATACATCCTTCATGTACCGTTCCACCAACATGTACAATAAAATTTTTTCTAATATTGATTTCTTTGACACCACTCTTAGTAAATTAAAAAAAAATTGATGTTACAAATTGTAAATGACATTTAATGATTT